CAGCAAAAATACATGAATAAGTTATAATTATTTACTTATATAGATAGATATAGATAGATGAGGGAATACTTTTCTTTCATTCTTGCAATGAAAATCATCCATCTAAAAGTTATAGAGACAGAAAAAAGATCCATGGTTTCCCAGGAATTTGGAGTGGTGTTCAGAAAGGGAGGTCATGATGAAAAGGTTCAGCATCTTCTTAGAGAAGAATATCTATTTGAAAGGGTGAGTCACAGAGGGGAGGAGGGGCAAGAGAGAAAAAGAAAGAGAGCAGGAGAGAGAGAAAGAGACCCATGCACTTGGGCCAATTTCCACTGCTTTCCGGCATCCTGGCAATGAGGCAGTCAGATTTAAACCCATACTCATATGGGACCCCAGAATTGTAGGCAGCAACCTAACCTATTACACCAGAATGTCAGCCCCCAAAGTACTGTATATTGATTATAGTGGTACTTGTACAAATCTACACATGATATAATGACAGAGAAATACCCATTCTCATTGTACCAACATCAGCCTATTCACTTTAAAATTATAATATGGTCTATAAAATATAGCATTTAAGGAGCCAGTGCAACGGCTCAATAGACTAATCCTCTATGTGTAAGCACCCACATCCCATATAGGTGCTAACTCGTGTCCCAGATACTGGAGTACTTCCGTCCAGCTGTCTGACTGTGGTCTGGGAAAGCAGCAGAAGATGATCCAAAGCCTTGGACCCTGCATCCTCTTGAGAGATACAGAGGAAGCTCCTGACCCTGGCTTCAAATTAGCTCAGCTCTAGCCATTGTAGCCATTTGCAGAGCAAACCAATAGATGAAAGATATTTCTGTGTGTTCTTCTATCTATAAATCTGCCTTTCCAATGAAAATAAATAAATCTTATATATGTGTGTGTTAAACTAGATTGAAAGTATACTAAACTGTGCAATTTCATATTTATATACAATTAATTCCCCAAAAAAGTAAAAATAGGTTCCCATGAGACTGCAGTTCCCATGTCAAGGTGGCTGGGAGCAGCTGGTTCATGGGGACTTGGGGTTGCAGGCTTGCAGGGGAATAGCACTTGAAGGATGCACAGGGACCTGGGGGTTCACATCCAGGCAGGCTGAGGCTGAGTAAGCCTGGAGAGTTCCCCATGTGCTTGATCCTAGGCAGTGTGGGGAGATGGGAGGAAAGTACCGCAAGTTAGCATGCTGGCCTTGTGTGCTGGTAGACCAGACCTAGGGAACTTTGAATGGGCCTGGATCTTGGCCACATGGAGGTCCCAGGCCAGCATACATGCCAGAAGCTTGGGACACTGGTGGGCAGGCAGAGCTCCAGACCAGCACAGCACCCACTGAACTTCGCAAGGTGAAGTTGGGGAACCCAGGCTTTCCTGGGCACAAGGATTATAAATTGATTGGGGAATGGAGCAGGGGGATATGGGGAAGGGAGGACCATTGGAGGAGTGTGTTACAGGTGACTTCTGATGGACTCCCAATGGTAAGGCCAGTGTAATTGCTGGTAAGTGAGGAGACTAAGACCACATGAATTAGAGCTGGAATAATTAGCATGAAACACTGCTGACTAATACACACCAGCCTACATAAAAGCTAAGGCTGGGTACCTGCCTGGCAGGGAGAGATCACAGCACCAACCAGTGAGTGTCAGAATAGGGAGTGGGTAATGTTAGGCTGGGCCATGACACTAACCAGCATGTGAAAGAACCAAGTCCAGGGGTAGATTCTGTGGGGGATATATAGGCCTACCACAGTGGAGCTGCAATTCCCACTGGTTAGCTTAAGAGCTGGGATGGTGATGTGCTGAGCCAAGTATGACCACTGAATCCTCCAACACTCGTAGATACTGGGGTCGGGAACAGGCTTGGCAGGTCCAGGCTGCCTCACCCAAAGATAAACCCAAAAAGAGTGTGGGATAGTCAGGCCACAATATCCACCAGCTAGCTCATACAAAGGACAGGACAGAGAGGGAAGGTTATTCTGGGTAAGGGCTTAGCATCCCTGGCATGTATGAGATTTGGGTCTAGAAGTAGACATGGCGGGAAAACTTGGGAAACACTCCTGGTAGGCCATAGTTCCTGCTAGAGAGCATGGGATTCAGGCTGGTGTTGGTCAGTCAGAGCAAGGTAGCTCCATGTATCAGCAAGTGTGTGGGTTATTTTATGAGGGGGTGGACAGGGCAGCATTAGGTCAACTTTAGCCTACTGGCATGTGCAGGAGCCAGGCTGGAGTGCAGATAAGCCAGGCCAGACTATCATATTTACTGGTTTGCATGAGCCAGGGATGGGAGCAGACTGAGCAGGTGCAGCACCCACCAGTCAGAGTTGGGACTGGGGGCAAGCCACAATAGGTCAGACTACTGCAACATCCGATGGCAGGAGCCAAGATGGGGGATGGGCTATGTGAAGCTGGGTCAGAGCAACCACTGGCATGTACAATATAGATGGCTGATAGCAGTCCTGGTTGGAGAGCTAATGGGATGCCCTGGCTGGGTTATGATTTCCACTGGTGAGTGCGAGAGCCAGAATGGGGAATGGCAATCTGGGCTGGATATGACTGAGTGTCACTCAGAATGGGTGTGTACTGGGTGTGGGGTGTGCCAGACTGGGCTAGACTCCAGCAGCCCCTGGTAGGAGAAGCTGGACTTCATCTCTGCCCCCTGCTGAACCACACGAAATCTGTGTCTGGGCATGGACCAGCTGTGACTGAGCTGTAGAACCCAACAGTAAGAACCAGAATGGGAGTGGGCAAGCTGAGGAAAGGCCACTGTTCCTGCCAGAAGGTGAACTAAGTCAGGCTAGGTCAAGAACCCACCGGTGGGCACTAGATCTGCCACTTGGAGGAGGCCTGATGGAAGATATATGGGAACTCCTCTTTCAGGAGGCAGTTGCTGCAGGTGAGCACAGGAGCCAAGGCTGGGAGCAACCCAGACCAGGCTAGGTTACCATACCCACCAGCACACCTATGGGTCAGGTCTGTGGGCAGGCCAGGCTAGGCGAGTTCATAACATCCACTGGTAGATCTGAGAACCAGGAATGGGTACAGGGCAGACTAGATCAGACCACAACACCAGCCAGTTCATATTAGGGCTAGGACTGGGAGATGGCTGGGTTGGACTAGGTTACAGCACCCATCAGCATGAACTGGTACTGGTGATAGGCTAGGCCAGGCCAAGCTACAGCACTCACCAGCACATGTGAGACCTGGAGGTTGGGGTGTGAGCCCAGTAAGGGACATTTAGGAAGTTCCCATGCTGAGCCACTGCTCTCACTGATAAGCGTGAGAGCTGGGATCAGGGGCAGAATGGTCCAGGCATGGCTACAACACCTTTTGGCCTGCATATCAGTTGGGTTGTGGGAGAGCCAGGCTGGACTAACTAACTGATGTGTGTGTGAGCAGGAGTGTACAGGTTGGTGGGACTTTACTACAGCATCAGCTGGCAAGTGCTGGGACTAGGAGCAAATCCTGTCAAGCTAGACTGCAGAACCACTTGGAGAATGCAAGGCTGGGAGTGGGCCTTTACAGAAACTGGGGACTTCTCTGATGGGCTACTACTCCCACTGGTGAGCATGACAACCAGAGTTGGGGAAGGCATGGCTAGATAGGAGGTGGCACCTGCTGACATGAGTGTAAACTGGATAGTGTGGTTGTTTGGGTTGAGCTAGGCTTCAACTTTGCAATCACCTCAGAAGAGCCTTCTTTGGGGCTCTCCCCAACTGAACCCCTGGACTCAGAACTCCAAACATGGGGAGAATTACAGGTTCTGTGGTCTGACCATGGAGTGCATGTGTCATAGCTGGGCCTATTCAGTGGCTTGGATAAAGCAGTGGACAGCATACACAGATGCACTTGGGGGACATGGCAATCCATTGGAGCCTGCAGAGGACATCTGATACCAAAGCAGATCAACTACCTCAGCCAAGTGTTGGTAGCAAATATCTGGGTGATGGAGACTCTAAGTTGGACTGTGTCATCCGGTGGACCTTGGAGGGTTTCATCATCCTGGGAGTGGTTAGACTTACAGCATCTCAGAACTATTGAACTATCAAAATCACTTGAGCAGGAACCTCAGAGCATGCTCCACATCAGATACCCTGAGATGAGATCAGCTGGCCATCCGCCATCCCTGGGCACTGAGGCCGTTAGAAGGCTTGGTGTGGCTTCCCTCAGATACGGGAAGAAGAAAAAAGAAAATGTGGAAACAATGATCTTACCCACTTTCCCCTGATCCGCAACCCTTCCCATCCTGATCAACTATGTCAACATTATCAAAAATAAAATGAAATGAAATAAAATAAAAAGTTTCCATGAAGCATTTTCTCCTTTTATCACAGTGACAGTAAGATTTGTCCCTCTGTATCGTCACTGAGCCAACTTAGTTTTGGCATACCGTTGGTGTTTGACTTGAAATATAACATGGCTAGTGTGTCTCCCCTACTTGACACTCTTTTCGGTCCAATTCACTCCTTTACTACAAAAGTCCAAGGATTAAGTGGTGGTTAAATGTGTCATAGATAAGTTTCCTGAAGAATGAAAAACTCAGTCATGTTTAATTCTAAAATACTCTCGATTGATTAACACTGAGCAGTAGGCTGAGGCATATAGGTAGATATATCTGTCTGCTTCCTGCCAGCAGCAACAGCAAGGATGTGAGTATATTATTAAAATTCTCTGTGACTTGAGGAGCAAAGGGAATTAGTATCAGTGCAGAAGCCTTGATGCAACACCGCTAATAATTCAATCAACCAAATAGCAGGAAAACCAGACATCCTTAATTCACGTGATTTCCTAGTTGTGCAGCTGTGCCTCTAATACATAGTTCAGTGTCTGGACACTTGATAAGTATTCATCGGTAAGTAAATGAATGGTGTAATCGTTTGAGGTAAACCAAGAAAGAATGACATGTGAAAGGAAAATAATAAGTCCATCTTTGTGATGGAGGTCTTGACAAAGTAATATCCACAGGAAATTTCTGAATCTTCTTTCTTTGCTTTTCTAGGCAGCTTGAAATCCACTCTCCAGATGCCAAGCACACAGTGATCCTAAGGAGCAAGGACTCAGCTACTGCCCAGGCTTGGTTCAGTGCTATCCATGCCAACGTTAGTGACCTGCAGAGCCGTGTGATGGTGGAGGTCAAGGAGCAACTGGGGAAAACCGGCATTGCCGGGAGCCGAGAAATCAGACATCTTGGCTGGCTTGCAGAAAAGGTAAGAACATCACTCTCTGTAATCATCATTTTCCCCTGAATTCCCCCAAAACTTGTAATCACTGAAGTTCTCTGGTTCATTCCAACAACCTATCGTTTTGCATTATATTTGCAAAACTTGTCATAATCAGCTCAGATTCCCCCACATATAATCAACTGCAGCAAATTCTAGGTGATCCCTAATTGTTGGGAGGGTGAATGAACAAATTGATGAATAGCTTCACTTTCATGTCTGTGTATAAAGGGCAGGAAAAAGAAACTCACTATGGTTGTTGTCTTGGGAGGCCTAGAAGTTGAAATTGTTACTTTAAAAGGGTTTGTGTGGGCTTTCATTAACCTGATCCATTAATCATCCAGACATTTTCACTATAGATAAATTCTACATTTAAGAATAACAGCAATGACAGTAACAGGAGTTCTTCAAACAGCTACTAGGTGCTCTTTTGTGTATCATATAGCTTACTCTACTCTTAACACAGAAGATTCTGAATGTTATCATCAAACACCTGCTTTTCTGAGGTTTAGCACCAGGCAGGAAGGCCAGCGCTATGTAAACACGCAGAGGACTAAGACTGACTCCCAACAAGGACAGTTGCTGTGGAGGAGACCATGTCCTATGACAATTGTCACTTGATTTGTTTTTCAGTTTTGTGATCTGGTGGTCATTTCTTGGGTGTTATTCCTTCACTTCATTTCAAAAGAGTGAGCCTTTTCCATTGTCCTGGCACCTGATTGCTGCCCCTTGAAATCGACCTTCCGTGCTCAGGGACACTGAGCTTTTGGTACAGTTTGACCTCCCGGTGACTCACATTCTAACAGGCAGTTAGTAGGAATAATGATTATTGCAATAACAGCTTTTCTGCCAAAGAGCCCTGTCATCTGAGAAGGCCCAGTCTAATGCACTTGGAAATAATACTTGAACACAGTATTCAGCTGTTTTCCAGGAGTATTCTTTGTGCAGTTTCACACATGGGTCTCAGCCACAAAGTTCAACACAAAAGGAAAGGACAGTTCCCTGAAAGTTACAGCAGCTAAAAGCCCATCTATTATTACAAACTGTAGTCCATGAAAAATACAGGCTCACCCACTCCTGCCCAGAAACCTTGTCTGTGTCCCTCCTTGACTGGAGGGAACCACGTGCCGGTGAGCAGACAAGCCAGAAGAGGGAGGTTTCTCAGTGCAGAGGCTGTAGTGTGGAGGCCACAGGAGGCTTCCCAGCATACAGATCCCTGGACCTGCTACCCAGCTGAGGTGATCTCAGCCTCAGTGGTTGAAGATATTTCTTCCTCATCGCTTTAAACACACTGACTATGTTTAAAGGCATTGCCACTTGAAGAACTGAAAGTGTACTGTGTCGTTAGTAATGATATTGGAACACTTACAAGTGATCTCATTTTATCATATATAAATTATAACAGTCACTAGACATTCCTATGTAGCAGTAGTAAAGATATATAAAAAAGTTTTCTGGTTTTTGTAATACTCTCATTGTTGTGGCATAATAAAATCATTATAATGAATGTCTCAAGTCTATGATGGCATGTATTCATAAAGACAATAATGATTTAGAGATAGTTGTTAGAGACAAGAATATCTGTTATTGCCTTTGTCTGTTAAACCTCTTTTAAATTATCGTGTATCAAGTTCATGAGAATAAACTGAAATTACAATTAGTTTGAATAAATACTTGATACTGAATCCTGTGGGGACATCTGAATGTTTTTTAGAAAGATATTACAATGAACGGCAAATCCTTCACACTACTTTCTTATCACAAACGTCACAGGCTCCACTTGGGATTTGTGTGATCCTGTATACATTCTGAGGGGGTTTACCTAAAATTTCTGTTATTTGTCTTTTCCTATTTTGTTAAGTTTTGGTTTTTTGGATTACTAATAGCTCTGTGATGAAAGTGTACAAATGTATTTAATTCTGAGTTTTGGGAAGTGACATTTCCATGAAATAAAAAAGAAACAAAATAGTATAAAACAGCATTGCCTTCCTTTTCAAAATCTTGTTCAATAGAAATCCTGAAACCGTGACACTACTTAGGAGGCAAACGTAATATTTACGTTATTCATCTTAGTGAGACAGTCTGAGGGCTTGAACAGTAGCTCCTAAGAAATAATGAGCTCTTAGATAAATGAGTAGAGAGGGTTTTGTGCTAAGAAAGGAAAGGGAGAGTAAGAGAAGGGCTGAGGTTGAGATTAATGCAGTTTAGAGGGAGGGCAAGCCAGAGATTGGTCTAGAAATGAAGCTTATCTCAGAGGAAGATGACAAGCAGTTCTATCCCATAAGGCACCCAGTTGTGGATGATTATAAGATGATGAGAGCTGGACAGATGCTTTAGATGTGATTTGCTGCGGAAAGCCTTCAGATACAGAATGATAGAGAAGGCAACTAAGGCCATGCCATCCAACCTCGTCTTTCAGTGACTAGGGAATCTGCAACAACAGCATGAAAGATGGCTTATCTGAAGCCACACTCATGATTATGATAGAGAAATCATTGAAGAGTAGGATGATTTTGTGGTAATTCTTCTATCCAGTTCTTGGAAGCAATATGTTTTTGTTTCTCTCTTTTGTTCTGGTAGTATTTCTCCACCTCTCTACAGTATGAATTTGGTGTTGGGCCAATAGCTTCTGAGCTGCTCAGGTTCCCTTGTCCTCCATCATGGCCCTTGTCCTATGCTATGACACTTCTGTGCTGTTTTCCTGCGGGAAAGCATGATGTGTCCTGCAGGCACACACGCATGTCAATGGAAAGCCTTGTCTGAGCAGAGCAATCTCAAATCTCTCAATTTCAGCCTCCATGAAGGCCACGTAACGCATCACTACTAATCCCTACCATGAATTATAAAATGTGTCATGCCCCAAACATGTTTTCAAACTGTTTCTAGTTCGTCTTTTAAAATTATTTACCTATTGAGGTGTTTTCGGTGGTCCAATTTTTGACAAGAGAAAGACATGTTGTGTTCTGACTCTGACTGCCAGGAGAAGCAGGAATAAACAGGAGCACAGCAGAACTGCAGAATCTCAGACTTCTCATTACCTTGTTATCTCTGCAAATGATTTCGTGTAAGATATTAAAAATGCAAGAACACAGCACAGCAAAGCAAAAACCTCAGCTGGGAGCTCTGACATTCAAGATCATTCTGAGATTTTACTCACTCCTGTTTAAGCTGCTTTCAAATGAGGACGTTTATATAGGTTTACATAGCTGTGCCTCCCACGGCGTTATTGGAGGAAAGGAAATTGGTAGTTGATGTATATTATGTACTAGCCTGTTTCAGGCAGTGTGCTTTAAATAATCCCAAACCTGTGAGGCAAGCTTACAGAATCTAAACACCTCTTCTAAGATCGCTCTCCTTGGTAAGTTGCAGAACTAGAATTTGAACTTTTGGTTGCTGAAATTCAGCATTTCCACTAGTCTGAGCTCAGGAAACATCTGTTCACCTGAGTAAGTAGGGCCTCCCAGAATTTGTGCTCCTAACTGGATCGGAGGTCAAACAGCACAGATTCAGAACAGAGCAAGTGAAATAACCTATCTTAAAAATTAATAAGGCGAATACATGTATTGGAGCAGAACAGTGCTTATTAAAAGATCCCATTCTCATCTGGTCTTCGTTCCCTCGACATCGAAAGAAGAAAATCAGCAAGGAGTGATTCTCTCTCTTTCTCCTTCTATTCTTGACCACGAGGATTAATCCAGTCTCTCTAATTAAGCCCCTTGTTTTCTCTCCCATGCAATAATTCTTTCCTCACCCCCCTTTCTGCTGCTTTCTAATTTTGTTCTTTGACAGTGCAAAGAACAGGTCTTCCTCCACAGATTTCAACCATCTTTTAAGGGACACACTAGGGGAAGACAGTATTCATGTGTGCACGCACACACACACACACACAGGAGAGAGAGCTGAACTTGCTTTGCACAGTTCTAAATCACAAACATTTCACTCATCATGATGTAATTTAGTAGCAGTTTCTTAACAGCATGAATCAAATTTCATTTAGTACTATATACTAAGTATGAATAATTTCATAAAGTTCACAGTTCACTGCCAGCACTTCAGTTCACAAATCAGGATATCAAGAGCACACGATACACATCTTGATGATGGCCAATGACAGTACTGATTTTAAAGTCTGTTGGTGACTGATCACCTCAGATCTGGTCTTCAGTTTACACACATGCTGCAAGGCGTTGCACCAGTATTTCCTCCATGTCTTCCAGTGATAAATCTACATTTTACTACAAGAAACTGTAAATAATGGATAATAGAAAGAAGGGATTGTCCAGCAAAGCAGATAGTGCCATAAAGGGATAAAAGTTAAGAATATAGGGTTGAGGGCCCAGCGACGTGGCCTAGTGGCTAAAGTCCTCGCCTTGAACGTGCTGGGATCCCATATGGGCGACTCCACTTCCCACCCAGCTCCCTGCTTGTGGCTTGGGAAAGCAGTTGAGGACGGCCCAAAGCTTTGGGACCCTGCACCCGTGTGGGATACCCAGAAGAGGTTCCTGGATCCTGGCTTCGGATCGGCTCAGCTCAGGCCATTGTGCTCACTTGGGGAGTGAATCATCAGAAGATCTTCCTCTCTATCTCTCCTCCTCTCTGTATATCTGACTTTCCAATAAATAAATAAATCTTAAAAAAAAGGATCTACGGTTGGAATTTCAATCAAACATAAATGATATTATAGAAGAAATAGTCAACCATGGAAATGTTTCCACAGATACTGTTCAAAAGACCCTTGGAATGCAACTAGAACTCAGTTAAGGTTATAAATATACAGCTAGAGATGAAGAAAGTAGTTATAATTAGAGGATGAAGGTGCCACAGAGGAAGTAATGCCAGTGAAAATCCACGTGAAAAGGACACTCAGAGAAAACTGACATCAGTAAAAATGTAAAGGGCAAAATGTTGCTATCTGCTCCAAACTTGCAAAGGGATATGATGATTTGTCATGACATAGAAACAATGCTTATTCTGAATCACGAATTATT